TAGCATTTGTTCTTATCGGGTTAAATATTGATGACAACTCGGGAGTAAGGCTCTGTTTGCAAACTCTATTTATAAGTGCTTTTGGCTTCTTTTAAGAAAAAAAAGCACTTATTTTACCAAACACTACCAACTTTTACTATCTCGGTTTTTGTGTAGAATCTACTTCTTACTTTTTCTATTACACAAAAAGCACTTATTTTATCAAACACTACCAACTTTTACTACTAATCACTTTTTCCCAAAAAGTGCTTTTATTTAAGCACAAGTGGTTGCAAACAAAACCTAAATCATGTCGTACGGCAGACTATATTAAGGGAGTGTTTGCAACTGCTTCTGCTTAAATAAAAGCACTTTTGGAGATGTAAGGAAAAAGTGATTAGTAGGAAAAATTGATAGTGTTTGAGAAAAAAGTGATTTTGAAAAGTAAAAGTTGATAGTGTTTGGTAAAATAAGTGCTTTTTGTGTAATATAAAGGGGAAAAGCACTTTTCACACGCAAGCCAAAAAAAAGTTAAAATTGGTAGTGTTTGGTAAATAAGTGCTTTTTTAAGCCAAAAGCTGAGAAGTGCTTTTTTTAAGTGATTGCAAACACTCCCTAAATTATATGGTACATCGGACATTTTCTGATTAACTCCAAGTTAGAGGCTAATAGTAGGTTCCCGTTTTAATTTTCTTTTTACTTTATTTTTTACTTTCGTTTGTTTCATACGTACTTTTGTTGGTTGCTTTTAGCTTTTTACTTGTTACTCCGTATTTTGTTTCTTTCTTTTTCTTTACTTTTTTATACCAAGTACCGTTTGCATCATTTTTTATTCAATTATTATGAAAATGTATAATATAAAATTTTAATACAAGTTTGAATTTTTTTTTTTCAATCAACCTTCGAACTAAAGTTTTGTATAATCTGTACATTATAAAATATTTTAGCTATTAATGTTTTCTTTTTTTAATTTTAACATCAATATTTATTTGTTATTATCTATCGTAACTCACGTCTCCAATATAATGTGTATTGGAATTCTCTTATTATCTTGTGTCAATTTCTCGAGTCAGTCATCATGCACTAAACTCGTGCAGGTTCCGTGCTTGCTTTGTGCCCCCAAATTCTACTTATAGATGCATGGTATCAAATGAAGTAAAAATAGACACTTTCACAAAAAAAAGGTTAATATGTTGAAGTACACCATACAACAATCTTCATGCAACTACAAATACATTTTAAAGACAAAAAAAGAGATGGAAAACAAGCACTGCCGGCCCTCAATTATTCCACAATCTTCATACCAATTCCAACTTCCTCTCCTCCTGCCGGATAACCTCCACCGAAATACCCACCGCCGCCGTCATGGCCGCTGCTACTGCCCATCACCCACGACGATGACTCGCCGCCAATGCTCATCAATCCATGGCACGTATAAAAGGGTGGGGCCGGACGTAACTTATCGGAGCTTCTTGTATGTACTCGTGGTGGAGAAGGGAGAAATCTCTAACTCCGGGCATGGCTCGCAACGGCTGAGCGCAGCGTCGAATGACGGCGGCATGAGAGCGTATGGGGGTGTTTTCCCAAAACACGGGAAAACTCAACATGTAGTGCAAAAACACGGGAAAATTTGTAGGGTTTCTAAGAAGTTGAAGTTCCGAATAGATTTAGGCTTCTAGGTTTACCATGCATTCGGAAAGCAAAATTCCGAATTAATTAATTTATTTTTATCTATTTTCACATATTTGGAACATGGTGTTCCAAATAGAATTTCTTTAATATATTATTAATGCACCATTCGGATGTTGCACTTCCAAATGGACCCTTATTTGAATTTTTTTTACATATAGAAATTAAATTTGATAGATACGACTAAGTAGTTTAATTGGGGGGAATTCGACCCGAAAAACGACACTAGACCGACCCGAATTATGATTTTGCATTGGGTTTTTTCTTTTTAAGCGGCCTGAATTAAAAAAACCGGGAAGGAACCCGAAATTCCGGACTCATTGACGGGCCTTAAAATCTATAACCCGACCCCGACCAATAAAAACCCGAAACAATTAGCTTTAATATACAATTAGTATAAAATATGAATATAAATTTATAAATATTTCCAAATATATGATTACAATCACGGTGCATAACAAATGATTTAGCAACTTTTAGTGACTACAAATTTGTTCAATTCGTAATATTTTTAAGAAACCTATATTATTTATTTACATGCATCTTAAGTAAAATATTAAGATAATTAACTTATTTGGATTTGAATTGTTGGTGATTTTGGAAACTAATCTTTGTGTTATTATTTGCGATTTGTATTTTTTATTAATTTTATTTGAAATTAGGTGTTAAAATATAAAAGACCAATGAAATATTCCAAGTTCGGGCTTTAACCGACCTAATTTATTAAAACTTTATCAATTTAATACTAACCGCATAAAACTGTATATGAATAAAATGTAGTTAATTATTTTGCAAAACCAAAACATACACAACTAATACAGACAGATAATCTGTATCTGACTAAATTTATTTGAAAAAACAAAACATACATTACTAACACACTATTCTTGCCCTCTCCGCTTTGCACGGAAGTCCATCTCATTTCGAAATCTTGTTCGTTGCGGCCTACCAGGTTGAACAGATCTACGATTCTTGGGCGGTAATATGACGTACTCGTTATCTGGAAAATCATTGAAGTCGTTAATTGGCATAATATATGTGGCGTACGTTTGGATATATGCATTTAATGTGTAAACCTCCGAAATGAGTTGATCCGGCGTAATTTGTAAGAAATGACAAATTGCGTATGCGTGAACACACGACATCCCGTTCTGCTTCCAGTATCCACAATCACATTCCCACCGCGAAATATTAACCGTGACTGGTTGGTACTTCCGTATGGTAACAGAGTAAATCCCTACTCTACGGTTGTGCGGGAGGACAGTACAAGAGTGTCTTTGCTGCGAACGCTCTACAAGCTCTTTCCATATGTTCTGCGGATACAAATACCCTGCTTGGTGCCACATAAGTCCAGTGTTGCGTTGATCCGCAAAGAGTTGAACCACTTTATCGAATGTTGCTTTTATGAGTGCGGTGATTGGCAAAGTACGACATCCCTTCAACACATGATTAAAACTTTCCGAAAGATTTGTCGTTAGTATGCCGTATCTTCGTCCATCATCATAGCTAAGTGCCCACCTTTCGACATCAATTTCATTTAAATATGCAAAGGCACTTGCATTGATGCTCCTTATTTGCTGCATGTAGTCATGGAATTCGCTGCGAATAGGAGTACAGTGCTACCGGCTTGCCAGCACAACTTTTTCAATTCCGTGTTTCTGAATTTCGTCATAAAATTGCTCCGAATGTGACGGAGGCAATAACACTTAATTTGACACTTGAGACGATAGCAATTCAGGAACATTACGAAATGCACTTTCTTGTGTCAATTTCTCGAGTCAGTCATCATGCACTAAACTCGTGCAGGTTCCGTGCTTGCTTTGTGCCCCCAAATTCTACTTATAAATGCATGGTATCAAATGGAGTAAAAATAGACACTTTCACAAAAAAAAGGTTAATATGTTGAAGTACACCATATAACAATCTTCATGCAACTACAAATACATTTTAAAGACAAAAAAAGAGATGGAAAACAAGCACCGCCGGCCCTCAATTATTCCACAATCTTCATACCAATTCCAACTTCCTCTCCTCCTGCCGGATAACCTCCACCGAAATACCCACCGCCGCCGTCATGGCCGCTGCTACTGCCCATCACCAACGACGATGACTCGCCGCCAATGCTCATCAATCCATGGCACGTATAAGGGTGGGGCCGGACGTAACTTATCAGAGCTTCTTGTATGGAAGGAATTACCAAAAAAACGGGAGTTTGGAGTCTGACATGCCAAAAAACGGGACTGACATTTAGGTTACCAAAAAATCCATAAGTACGTAGTCGGAATTGGAGAATCCGACTAGAGTAATTTTTTTTAAAAAAAATCCCACTACCTAGTCGGAATTGGGGAATCCGACTAGGGTATTTTTTTTTTAAAAAAATTGTATTTGTTCTTTTATAAATCGAGTCTAATTAAAAAAAATCTAACTGCCTAGTCGGATTCCCCAATTCCGACTAGGTTATTTTATTTTTAAAAAAAATTGCAATCCTAAATCGAGTCTAATTTATAAATGGTACTCTAATAAAAAAAATCAACTACCTAGTCGGAATTGGGGAATCCGACTAGGGTATTTTTTTTAAAAAAAAATTGTATTCGTTCTTTTAATAAATCGAGTCTAATTTTAAAAAAAAATCTAACTACCTGGTCGGATTCCCCAATTCCGACTAGGGTATTTAATTTAAAAAAAAATTGCAATCCTAAATCGACTCTAATTTATAAATGGTACTCTAATTTAAAAAAAAAAATCAAGTGCCTAGTCGGAATTGGGGAATCCGACTAGGGTATTATTTTTTTAAAAAAATTGTATTCCTTCGTTTAATAAATCGGCTCTAATTTTAAAAATTAGAGCCGATTCCAAAGATTCCAAAGACCGTGTATGGTATGAACCACTTCGTGCCCATCGTGCAGACCGTGTATGGTATGAACCAGATTCCAAAGACTCGTGCTTGAAATGCGTCAGTTGCCCTTCAGCTGCATTCAGATGTGAAGCGCGAGATGAAAGGGTGATAAATATGTTAGCATATGCTGGGTTCTTGGGGGTAGAGCACATTGCCCGTATGAAGGTGGATCATAGTTTAATATGCGCGTTGGTGGAGAGATGGAGGCCGGAGACACATACTTTCCATCTTCCATTCGGTGAGGTCGGCATTAGTCTACAAGATGTGGCGGTAATCCTTGGTTTGCCCATTCAGGGTATGCCCCTCAGTGGTCCAACCATTAGGGGTAAGGATCAGTGGATCGACCTGTGCACTCAGTCGTGTGGTTTCACTCCTCTACAGACTGATATGCGCACGAGTAATATCACTATGAGTGCTGTTACCCGTCACCGGATCCTAGATGACAGTACAGACGAAGAGGTCACCCAACACACCAGGACTCTAATATGGCAATTGCTTGGAGGGTTTTTGTTCCCTGACACGAGTGGGGCAAGAATACGATTGTACTTTTTGGAGGTCTTGCAGGGTGACTTGGCTTTAGCCCGTCGCTGGAGTTGGGGATCAGCGGTTCTCGGGTACCTCTACCATAACTTGTGCAACGGCGCGATGTGGGAAACCAAACAAGTTGGCGGTTGTATGCACTTGTTACAGATTTGGGCTTGGTCGAGGATTTCGATGGTACGTCCCTCAGCACTTCAGGTCATTCAACATGGCCATCTTCCATATGGCCGAAATGCATTACCCGGATCGATTTCTTCGGCAGTTCGGTATAAGGCAAGACATTCCGAATGCTCCTTTGCCGGGTACTGGTCATCACGGATCTCGTTCCAACATAGTAATCGGTGCCTTGGCGATGTGGGCGGACATACAACATAATATATACGTTCTTGATTATGATCGATATATGTCCCTCGAAGCAACTAAAAGGTACCGAAACTGGTACAAGAAGCATGGTATGACACGTGTCCAGAACCCTTCTCACAATGTGCCCACGACAGGCTACACCCCGACAGCACACGATTGGGGTATTGTGGTAAGTTTTTGAATACATACCATATTCGCTACCATATATCGTGTCATATTATTTACACGTGTTACATTTTTATGTAGAAGCAAGGCGTTCACGAGGTGTATCAGCTCTTAGCCGACCGCGCGAGTTATGAGGATTGTCAAAAACGACTACGGCAGATGGCCCTGGATGTAGGTGATGAAGATATGCTCCACCGGGGCATATTCCACTATGAAGATGAAGATGCAGGTGGAAGTAACGAAGAGGATGATTCAGATGAACGTGAAGATGGGGGTGAGGACTCACAAGCGCCCCCTCAATTCTCAACACAGGGTGTCTCATTTGATCAACCACCCTGTTAGACCCCAGATTTTGATGAACTGTTTTTGATGATGCCAAAAGCTTTTGTTTTCCCCCCTCTATTGTAGCATTATTATAAGAGTCGTTGTTATCATCTTTTGTAGCATCTTGCAGTTGTCTAGTACTAAGAAAATTATCTAGATGTTTCGTGCTCCTTTTATACAATTAACAAATAAATATGACTGGAAAACCATAAAATGCAATAAGGCAATATTGTATTGCCTTAAAAGGATATCATATAAATCCAACCAGTTAAATTTATTTGTTACACACAATAACATCTCGCACAAATAAACTATCTATTTTAACTGGAAAACAAAATGCAATAAGGTAATTTTACCTTAATAGGAGTTGATATCCTACCAGTTAGATATTTAGCTTATCATGTTCGAAATACTAGATAAACCATACACTCAAAGGAAGAGTTCGTGATATTCTATTCACTACAATAAATAACAATCTATATAACAAAAAGAACACACTGGGATTCAAAATGAAATAAGGTAAAGTTGTCTTTATCTTAAAATTGGATATTTAAATCCAACCAGTAAAGTGTTATTTGATATATAGATAAATCAAAGTGAACAAGAATAGTGAACAACCAACTGGAACACAAAATGCAATAAGGTAATAACTTTTACCTTAATAGGATTTGTTATCCTACCAGTTAAGTTGTACACAATACCTGCTAAACTACACAAGTACTTAAAAGTGACAAGAATTCCAATGTACAAACTATGTATCAGATTAAACATACTGGAACTATAAAATGCAATAAGGTAAAAATTATTTACCTTACGTGGATATTTAGATCCAACCAGTATAGCTTTAATTTGGTACATGAGTTTAATCATGTCACTTAAAGAAAGAAAGTGATTAGTAAAATAAGTGACAAATTTTACTGTGAAATTTGTACCAAATAAATTGTACTGGAAAGAACAAAATGCAATAAGGTAATCCTATTACCTTAATAGGATATTTCAAAGATCCTACCAGTACAAAACCTATTTGATACAAAATATTCAAAGTCACACATTTTACTACTTCACTATACAAATTGAGCAGGTTCACGCACTCAGCCTTACAAGTGTAGTTGCAAGACAAGGCTAATACACTCAGAACGCAAGAGGAGAGAAGACATCTGATTAGGTGAATAGTGAAGAGTTTCAGAATAGGCATGCAGCGACAAGAAGGCCTAAAGTATGGGTGTTATCTTCGTACAAAGCAAGTGGTCTTCAAAAGACAAATCCTTATCCTGCTCCAACACAAGAAGACGCAAGTACAATACTTTGGACGTCTAGGATTAAATCCTCTTAACCAACGGAGGAGATTAATCTACTGGAGATGCCTATAAAAATAGGCAGAAGCATGAGATCAAAGGCAAGTCATTGAGTTCAAAGCAAGTGGTTCAGTCATTACACTACGCATATCCAGCAAAAGAAAAAGTGCTTGAACACTCTGCTTTGACTCATGCTTCACTAAGCTCTTAGACTAGATCATTCATTGTAACATTTATAGAGCTTAGGTTTTAGTTGGAGGTTAGACACTTCGTGAATCAATTCATGTTGTTGTAAACACTTAGGAGAACAGTTGTTCGGATCCTAAAGTGTGGTTAGATAGATAGAGTACCTTTTGATCCCCACTGGATCAATCGAGAAAAGTCTAAGGACTGAGTAACTTTGAGTGGTGTTATACTCATCGTGAAAAACCTTCAATCTAGGCCAGAGTTGTCAAGGCTAGATTGGCACTAATTGTATTGGGCTGAATACTTTAGTGGAAATCCATCTGAAATAGGGTGGGACTGGATGTAGGAGGATTACACCACCTCTGAACCAGGATATATCGTGTGTTGATTTACTTTCATACATACAGAAGCACACACCAAACACATCTCACTAAAGGATTGTAGTTTGCCAGCAGCATCCTAAGCAGTAGTCTTCATCGACTGTACTGCTTAGCCTACTGCTTAATAGCTCACTCTCCTTGAGAGTATTTTCCACTAGAAGTTATCTTACACTCAGAAGGTGCCTCAGCAGTACCCTGGTCTTCACCCTCCTGCTGAGCCCACTGCCCATTTATATGTGTCTTTCCGAACGCCATAACAAGCCAGAACAAAAAGCCATCCAAAAGTCATCCTGTTCTTAACAGTTGCCTCAGCAGTAACCTGCCCACCAGCCAACTGCCAATTCAGCAGTTGCCTGCCAGTCAGCAAACTGCCTGTGCAGCAGTAGACTAAGCAGTTATCTGCTCACCAGTCTACTGCCAAGCCTACTTCCTCTTGTCACCAGTCTAAACATCATCTAAACTAGAAAGTTGTCTCACACCAAGTATAAAGAGGTTAAAGACTTCCGCTGTGCATCTATTAATCTCTTAAAAGATTATAGATCAACTCTTCTAGAGGGAAAACTTCACAAAGTTGAAAAAGATTTTAAAAGTCTATTCACCCCCCCCCCCTCTAGACTTTTACCTCTATCCGGGACCATCACACCCCCTCAATTCTCAATGCATCAAGGTGGCTCATTTGATCAACCACCACCGTATTATGATTCTTATCAGTGGTCCACACAACCGGATGATTATGTTGAGTCATTTCTGAATTCGCCTTTTTACTATGGAGACACAACGGGGCCTTGAAACACTCGCGGTGGGGACGGAGCAGGGCCGAGCACGCTAAATTAGATGTAGTATTAAATTTAATATTGTATGTATTGTCTATTCATTAATAAATTACATTGAAAACTAGATTTGTTTTGTTCAATTCCATTAAAATTACAAAAAAAAATTCACTTAAAACAAAATCAAATTTTTATCTAATTAGACGAATGGAGTAAATCAAAATTGCACTTAAAATTACAAAAATTGCAATTAAAACTAAATTCACAATACAAATGGATTTAAAAACAATTTAAAGCAATCAATTGTTTTCTTAGTAAAAAAATCATAATGCTAAGTTTTCATGTTAAAAAATATGTCATGAATCTAAAAGAAATTTTAAATTTGGAATTGATATAATTTAGCCCTAACATTTTTATTTTTTACAAACTCAAATTCAAAAACAAATTTCGAAAAAAAAAAGAAAATTAAACCTAGTCGGAACTCCCTAATCCGACTAGGGGGGGAAGAATTTTTATAAACCCTAAAACCTAGTCGGAACACCCAGTTCCGACTCCCCCTTTTTGGTAAACCCTAAAAAAATCCCCGTTTTTTGGCAACCCCAACCCCCTTTTTCCCCCTTTTTGGTAAATCACCCTCTTGTATGTACTCGTGGTGGTGAAGGGAGAAATCTCTAACTCCGGGCATGGCTCGCAACGGCTGAGCGCAGCGTCGAATGGCGGCGGCATGAGAGCGTATGGAGCGTGCAACGCTCCAGCGGCTGCTAGCGCTCGAGTTGCCAAAGAAGTGGAAGCTAGAGGCGGCGCCTTGGGCTAGCGTCGACGTTTCGTGGCCGCGCTTCCGGGAGGACTCCAGGGCTTGCGCCTCCTGGAGGCGCTTATTGGCGCCTCCGCCGATGGCGAGGGTGTCGCTTTAGAGGATGGCTTTGACAGAGGAAATTCTCATAACACGGGATTTTTGTGTGTGAGTTGCAAAAAGACGGGAACTTCAAAGTATTGGACGAAAACAAGGGAATCGGAATTCCATGTTCCGAATGCAAAAAAAACCATGGTTGGGGCTCATGGGTGATAGAATAAAATAATATTTAAATGTAACATTATTTGTTGCATATTGTTACGGCACTTAATGTAATCCCTATCATGTATGTAGCCGTAGTCATAACCATATACGTAGCTCACCTTTAGTGCGTAAACTTTATCCCATGCATAATATTAGGGAGGTTACAACCTCCTGTGATTATCCCGTACGCTATGCATGCGTATACTTGTATATATAGAGCTAGACTCTAGTCAATTGATATACGAAATACATTTTATTCCTAAACTCTTTATGGTATCAGAGCCCTCAATCAAATACGATTGAAAGGTCTCAGCTATGCCTTCTTCTACCTCCACAACTTTCATGATTCCAACCAGTGATTCTTCCTCTCAACTCATCTCCCTAAATGCCTCTTCTCAAATTCCCATAAAATTATCCAAAGAAGGCAGTAACTACTCCTTTTGGAAATCCCAAATTACAAATCTACTGTTTGGATATGGTCTTCTTGACTATGTCACCGGAAAAAAATCTTGCCCCGAAGAAAAGGATCCAGGTTACGAACTCAGGACACGGCAAGACCGGCTCATCCTGTTGGCTATTCAATCAACAGTTGCAGGTACAATCAGTCCTATCATCAACTCATGCTCTTCTTCGGCTGATGCTTGGACAAAGCTTGAAACTAGCTTTGCTAGTTCGTCCACTACACGAATGATGTCCCTTCTTTCTTCTTTAATGACTACAAAAAAAACCGGCAAAAGTGTTACCGAATACTTGGCGGTAATGAAGACTTTCATTGATGATTTAGCAACAATTGGCCATCCTCAAAGTACCGGCCAAATTGCTTCATATATTCTTGGAGGTCTTGCCGGTGAATTTAAGGATTTGGTAGGCGCTATACGTATCTTACCCTCTCCTCCAACATTCGAACAACTCCAAGACTTCCTTCGTGAAGCTGAAACTTTAGCCGGGGAATCATCGACAACATTTGACGTCCCTATTACTGCACAATTCTCGCAGCGGCGTAATGGTTCTCGTGGACGTGGTGGACGTGGCCGAGGAGGCCGTTCTAATGACCTCTCTGCGAATTCTCATCATAACAATAGTGGACACCTTTTTTGTTATGGCCAAAATTCCCGATTTGGTCAAAATTCATTCGGTGGTCAAAATTCTCACAAGTCCATCACTTGCCAATTATGTGACAAGGCGGGACATTCTGCAAAAACGTGCTATATTAGAAATTCAGCCCATCCTACTGCCAACCTTGTTAGTGGAGGAGGAGATATCTCTCCAAATAATAATTGGCTTCTTGATACAGGTGCCACGCATCATATTACTTCTGATCTCAACAATTTGCACGTTCACTCAGATTACAATGGTGATGACTCTGTGGCCATGGGTGACGGTAAGAAAATACCAATATCTCATATTGGTACATCTTATGTTTCTTCGCTCTGTTCAAAATTTACACTCAATAATGTTTTGTGTGCCCCTAAAATTCGTCATAATCTTATCTCAGTCAAACAATTCTGTCTCCAAAATAATGCCTCTATAGAATTCTCACCAAATTTCTTTGTTGTGAAGGACTTAACAACCGGGGTATCCTTGGCCCACGGCCGGAGTAACAACAATCTTTATACATGGTCGTCCTCTCCCCAGGTTCTTCATACAACATCTCAACTTTGGCATCAACGCCTTGGTCATCCATCATCATCCACACAACGTCAAATAAAGCCTACTCACACAAAAATTCCTCCCTGTGATGCGTGTCTTCAAGCTAAAAGTCACAAACTTCCTTTTTCTACTTCTTCAATAAAATGTACTCATGCATTTGAATTTATTTATTCTGATGTATGGGGACCATCCCCAGTTCCAACAGTTAATAATACTCGTTATTATGTTATTTTTGTGGACTATTATACCAAATACACTTGGTTGTTTCCCTTGAAATACAAATCTGATGTCTCTCTTGTCTTTGACAAATTTTGTGCTTTAATTAATAATTATTTTAGCACCAAAATTAAAACACTCTATACCGATGGTGGGGGTGAATTTACTGCCTTAACCCCACAACTTACCAAATATGGCATTCAGCATCTCATATCCCCTCCCTATACTCAGCATGTGTATAGGGAAATGCCCCCGGAAATGCTGAGCCCTCGTTTAGTAGTGTAGCTTTAGGTCCTTGCCAAGTGGCTTAGGGGGGCCATCAGCTGTAAGCCTGTTGGTTTCTAGATGGCATCCCGGTTTCCCCCCGAAGGGTCCCCAATTGTGGACTTAGCCAAATTTCCACAAAGCTTCAATAGGTGCTGTAGTGAACCTTCGAGCGTGAGAATTGTCTGAGCCCCCGTGTGTAGCCGAGGGGTTCAAGATTGTGGACTTAGTGAAATTCCGAGATTTGTCTCCACTAGATCTCGTGAGTAGCCTTCGGTTGATGGGTGTTCTCCGAAGTGTTTCCAATCGCGGACTTAGGAAATTTTCCACTATCGAGTGAGTCTGGTAGCAATCCGCCTTCGGCATGAAGCCTTCGGTTTCTGTAGATATAGATTTAGCTTGCCTTAGAACTTTGTGCAGCCTTCGACATGAAGCATAGTTGACCTGCTTCCTCCCATATAGACTTGGCCAATTTTTGGTGAAATTTTGCTGGTGAGCCTTCGCTTTGAGCTTTCGGGGAGCTCCCTCAAGTAAGGGAGCCTTCGGGCAAGTAACCGAAAGGCTTTGTGTTGAGAGATTCCTTTGTATGTTTGAGGGAGCCTTCAGGAGTGTATATCCGAAGTATTGAGCCTCCGAGGAGAATAGTATCCGGGGAGTTCCTTCCCCCCTGCACATCTTTTTTTTTTTTTTTTTTTTAAGATGGTATAGGAGAGGCATCAAGAAACTTGGTTTCTAGGAAAGGCTTGGCCTATATGGGAGGCAACGGAATAAACCGTTGGCTCCCCCTTCGGGAATGACCTTCCGATATCCCAAAGGGTTTGAGGGTCGTTTCCTCGGCCCGAGACATCGTCTGTTGCCTGCTTCCCCTTGGGAGATAGCACGGAAAGCGCCTCGGTTTTGAAAGTCGTCCCCTCAGCCCGAGACATGGTCTGTTGCCTGCTTCCCCTTGGGGGATAGCGCGGGGAGCGTTTCGTTTGTGGAAGTCGAATCCTGGGCCCGGGACATGGTCCGTTGCCTGCCTCCCCTTGGGGGATGGCGCGGAAAGCGTTCCTGGGAAGGGTTTTATTTGTGTGTGGAACACAAATAGTCGGGGGCACTTGGTACCAGCCGGGGCCGAGGGGTGTTACACCCCCCGGTTTTTTTTTTTTTTTTAAGGAGGGTATGTATAAGTATGCATAATGTATGCATGATTGCGTCCTCGTGGGGTACGGCTTAGTGGAAAAACACTTAGTGTTTCCAAAGAGTGATGGGGGTGACCCATATACTTGGTACTTGGTACCTAAATTGGTGTTCCTCCTTATGAGGGGAGGAGGCCTTGGGCCTATTTTGGTGAAGAGATGAGGGCTTGGCCACTCATTGTCAGGAGAGATAGGGGTCTCGGGCCGCTTGTGTGACATATATGTGATGAAGGCTTGGCCTTTCATTTGTTCACTCGAAGTGAAGTTGGGCCTTGGGCCGTTGATCAAGTACATTTTTGAAGGGTGAGGGCTTGGCCACTCATTAATAAAATTTGACTAGGTGGTGCACATTCCAATGTCTAGGGACCTCTGTCCCATTAGGGCGTTTAAGCTTGTATGTCCCTGGTTTAATGATGGCTGAGATGATGTAGGGGCCTTCAAACTTAGGCGCCATTTTTCCCCCTTCGGTGGGTAGGCTGGCCTCCCTTCGTCGGAGGACGTAGTCACCCACCTGGAATTCCCGGGAGCGAACCTTGGCGTCGATGTAGCCTTTGACCTGTCTTCTATAGTTTTCGGCTCTGAGGAAGGCTTCTTCCCGACGTTCAGAGATGAGATGAAGGTCGAGGGCCATGTTGGCGTCGTTGACTTCCGGTTCATATTGTTCCACCCTTCGGGTGGGAAGGGTCACTTCTGTTGGAGCTTTAGCCTCGAAGCCATAACATAAGGAGAAAGGTGTTTCACCTGTTGCACGCCGAGGGGTGGTACGGTAGGCCCATAAGATGTTGTGTAGCTCTTCTACCCAGCCTCCCCCTTCGGCTTCCAGTTTCTTCTTCAGCCCTTCGAGGAGAGTGCGGTAGGCATTTTCTACTTGTCCGTTGCCCTGAGGGTAGGCAACGGAAGAGAACGTGTGCTTGATGCCCCAAGCCTCAAGGAGGGCACAGAAGGGGGCTGCCTCGAATTGAGTTCCGTTGTCGGAGATGATTTGTTGGGGGACGCCAAACCTTGTGAGAATATTTTTGAGAACAAAGTGGCGGCACCGGGCTTCAGTGATGCTGGCGAGGGGCTCGGCTTCTACCCATTTGGTGAAGTAGTCAATGGCCACGATGATGTACCTGTTATTGGAGGTACGCCTCGGCAGAGGGCCTACTAGATCAATACCCCACCTGGAGAAGGGTATAGCGGTACTGATGGGGGCGTAGTTGACCGCGGGTCTGCCGGGGGCCTTCTGAAAGTGTTGGCAAGCGGTGCACCTACGGGCTAGGTCAGCACAATCTCTAGCCATCGTGGGCCAAAAGTAGCCTTGAACGATGAGCCTTCGGGACATGGAGAAGGGTCCCTGGTGAGCTGAGCAAGTGCCACTATGCACTTCCTCCATAGCGACTTCGGCTTCATCTTGATGAAGGCACCGAAGGAGGGTGCCGTTGTAAGATCTTTTGTAAAGCCTCCCATTCTCGAGGGTATAGCTGGGAGCCCTCAGCTTTGCTAACTTGGCACGGGCTTCGTCTTGGGGCAGTTGCCCTGTGGTGATGAAGGTGATGATGTCGGAGATCCAATCCTCCGACCTTAGGTTAATGTTCATGACGGGGCTCGCGTGGATGCTCGACAGGCTGAGTTCCTCGATTCTTGCAATTTTTGAGAGGTGCTCGGGGGATTCATCCGAGAGCTTGGATAGAATGTCGGCCTCGGAGTTTTGAGCCCTCGGTATTTGGGTAAGAGAATGTGCCTCAAACACCTTAAGCAACTCCTTGGCAGCCTCCTTGTACTGCTTCATCCTTCCTTCCTTGGCTTCGTACTCCCCGGAAATTTGACCCACGACAAGTTTGGAGTCACACTTGACGTGGATCATCTTAGCCTTCAGATTTGCTGCCAGCCGAAGGCCGCAGAGAAGGGCTTCGTATTCGGCCTCATTGTTGGAGACTTTGAAGGAGAAGCGGATGGCATAATAGGCGCGGAAGCCTTCGGGTGTGATCAGAACTACTCCCCCTCCGCATGCTCTGGTGGCCGAGGAGCCATCGGTATAGAGTGTCCACCATTCATCGAGGGGTGCCGAAGGCTCCTCGTCTGTTGCTGATCTCGCGGTGCACTCCGTCACGAAGTCTGCCAGGGCTTGGCCCTTGATGGCAGGCCTCGGACGGATGTCTATGTTGTATTGGCTGAGGAAGATGGCCCATTTCACCATTCGAGAGGAGCTAGTGGGACTCCTCATGAGGGCGCCGAGGGGTTGATGAGTGAGCACTTGGACCGGATGAGCTTGAAAGTAGTGGCCAAGCTTCTTGACGGTCCAAACGATGGCTAGCACCGTCTTCTCGACGGGAGAATACCTGAGTTCGGCTTCCCGGAGGGTCTTGCTGACGTAGAAAATGGCGTGTTGGACGCCGTCCTCCTCCCGGATTAGAACTGAGCTGACGGCAGCAGGGCTAACGCCAAGGTACAAGTACAAGGTTTCTCCTACCTTCGGTTTTGAGAGCACCGGGGGCGAAGAGAGGTATCTTTTAAGTTCGTCGAAGGCCTCCTGACATTCAGATGTCCATTGGAAACCCGCAGTCTTTCTCATGATTTGGAAGAAGGGGAGGGCCCTCTCGGCTGATTTGGAGAGGAAACGGTTGAGGGCTGTCAGGCGGCCCGTCAACCGTTGAACTTCTTTGACGTTGCGTGGAGGCTCCATGTTGACGATGGCCTGAATTTTCTCGGGGTTGGCCTCAATACCCCGTCGGCTTACCATGTAGCCTAAGAACTTTCCTCCCTGTACGCCGAAGGTACATTTCTTCGGATTCAGCCGGAGATTGAATTTTTGCATGATGGCAAAGATTTCCCGGAGGTCGTCGGCGTGAGTGCTGGCCCTCTTGCTTTTGACGATCATGTCGTCAACGTAAGCCTCCATGGTGCGTCCTAGGACAACTTGAAAGACCCTAGCCACCATGCGGGTGTAGGTGGCGCCTGAGTTCTTGAGGCCGAAGGCCATCACAAGATAACAGAAGATGCCTTCGGGTGTCATGAAGGCAGTTTTTTCAGCGTCTCCCTCATGCATGTAGATTTGATGATATCCGCGGAATGCGTCGAGGAATGACATGATCTCGCATCCCGCGGTCTCATCCACCAGTTGATCAATGTTTGGCAGAGGGAAGGGGTCCATGGGGCACGCCTTATTCAGATCTGTGTAGTCCACGCACATGCGGAAGGTAGGGGGCTTCTGTGCGAGGACTACGTTTGCCAACCAAGAAGGGTATTTCACCTCCCTGATGTGTTTGATAGAGAGGAGCATGGCCACCTCCTTCTTCACGAACTTCCTCCTCTCAGCCGAGAGGGGTCTTCTCCGCTGCTGTATTGGTTTGGCCGAAGGGTCCACCGCCAGGCGGTGGGTGATAACCCTTCGGTCAATACCTGGCATGTCCTCCGGCCCCCATGCAAAAACAATGGAGTAGGCGCGGAGGGCTTCGGTGATGCCAGCCTTCAGGTCTTCGGGGAGCTTGGCTCCAATCTTCAGGACTCTCTCCGGCTTGGCCGGATTGAGTATCAAGTCTTCAGTCTCCTCGGCAGGTTCAGCCCTTGGCCTGCCTTCTTCCTCCTCCAAGGCCTTGGTGGTGATGGTGTCAACACGAAATTCAGTTTTACTAACCTTCTTGGTGAGTTGAAGGTAGCAGGCCCTGGAGA